ATAAATTAACAATGAAGTTACAGTATTATTATATTCATTCTTTTAATCCTACAGAATTCAACAATAAGAACAATACGAGTAATGATGACTTGGTATCAACACTACCATTATGGATTTTTTATTGAGACATGTTAAAAAAAGAAGAAGATATGCAAGATTTATGCTAGCTAACACAGTTTTTTTATCTCCAAATATTCTGCATTGAACAGGTACAACTGAAATTCACAGTGAAAGCAGTCATCTATAACATATCTCAGGCACATTACAGATGCTCCTTGAGTAACAAGTTATGTAGTTTAAAGCTTCGGTTTCTAGGAGCAAACACTGCTGTCCTAACCTCTCCAGCTCCAAAAGAGGTAATCAAAAGGCATAATCTATAATCATTCAGTTTCATTGTGTTTGAAAAATGTCACAATCAAATTCATATTTTAGATTAAGCACTGGAAACCTTTTCATCATGGTGGTTTCTTGAGTTCCTTTTGGCAACATGTACACTTGTCAACGAAGTGATAGGATCTTCTTTTATCCCAATTATTGACCCTCACTAGCCTAGAAGACTGCTAATAGCTATTATTTTCTTCTTGACTACCTGTTCTTTTGGTTGTGACATCTTTCTCTACGTAGAGGCTTATAGGGCTCATACTCACAGCTTATATAATAGTGATATTTCTTTCTACGTGAATTGTAATTGATACAAAATCTTTATATAGTTCGTGTAGTAAAATTACCAGTTAAGTCATTAACCATGAGTCTTTTAACTTCAGTGTTTGAGTTTGGATACATCATATTTCTCTCAGGGTACTCTCGATGATTACTGGTATGTCAAAGTCTCGTACACACCCAGATGGCTTTCATATTTCCTTGGATCAGGTTATCATTGTCTCCTTTTATTTCCTCGTCACAGTAGAAAAAACAAAAGGCTTATATTTTAATATCGGCCATATTCACCTGTTGTAGGGATGATGGTCATCATCACGTTGTTGGCCTTCAAATTCTGTGACATTTTCCAGCCCACCAATGGACAACGTGGAACAGAGATTAGGCCTGAACAAGCTCCATTACTTCTGCACAAAGATGATGATGTCTCAAGCAGGGGATCATCTTATGATTCAGTATCACATGATGAAGAAGATGTGGAAGACATATTCAAGATGAATTCAGTTGAAGAGAGGGCATTGAAAGAAGGCGAAAATGTGAACCTCAAACGTCAGTGTGTTATCTGCTTTAATGCCTCTAGGGACTGCTTTTTTCTTCCTTGTGGACACTGTGCTGCCTGCTTTAGTTGTGGAAGAAGGTATATATTCTGATATACTTGCAACAGATCATGCTGGATATTTCATTTTCCTTTTAATCCACTGAGACTAACAACAAAAACAAGCAATTAGACATAATATAGAATGAAACTTTACTTGGTTTGATTTCTCTGACCAATATTTACCATAAAATATGTAGAATTCAGAGTTATCATGAAATAAACTTTCTAGATCCCAGGTTACAACCTAATAGTTATACTAAAAGAGAGAAAACTAGTTATTACAGCTGTAAATAAGAAAAAGAATAGACCAAAATATACAGTGGTAATTTGATGAAATCAATATGCAAACTCAACTTATATGTGCCTATACTTCCATCAGAGTAAATAAAAGAATTGAATCCATTTTTCAAAAGCTTCAATTGATAATATATACTATACTTCACTAACTACTATACTTCGAAATTTACAGGATTGCAGAAGATCATGCTGGTACTTGTCCCATATGCAGAAGGAAGATTAAAAAAGTCCGAAAGATCTTTGAAGTCTAAAAGCAGCTTTTTTTAAGTCACGCGTTAGCATTAATTCACGAGTATTCAGTAGCAATTTTGATTAGTTATTTGTAATCTTAAGTCTTGGGCTATGATATTTTAAAACTAATTAAAGCATTTGTAATTACTTATATAATTTTATCTCTTTACTACCAATAAATGATAAGCTTTTTTATAATAAAATATCTATTTTCTTAGTAACTTTTTGTATCTTGGCATATCACAGTTAAAATTGTAGCCCACCAGACACCTGTGCAATCCAACAACATGAAAAAGAAAAAAACCCACAAATAATAATATTATTATTAATGAACTTAGAGTAATCAATTATTTTTCATTTGCGTGGAGTGTAAGTTCAAATTCTCAATGATAATGTTCAAAGAAAATAAGAAAATTGATAAAGTTAGTCGGAAAAAAAAAAAAAAAGACTTGTAGAGCATTTAAACTTTCAAAATAAATCATCCTTCTGCAAAAATCTTTTATATGTCATTGATAAATTTTGAAATATCTTGTTTTAATTTCATATAAAATACTTTTTAATTAAATTAAATATGAATTTGTAGATGCATTATATAATATTTCTGAATTGATTCTAAATATATATCTTAAAATCTATTTTTTATTATTATTATTATCGAAATATAAATAAATTCACAACCCCGACTTTTACATATTGTCCCCATAAATTACTTACTTTTCTAAGCCCAGCTGGTAGGCCCAAACCGAAGAAAATGATGGTCAAAAGGACGACTGAGCAACAAACAAGTCAAATCGGAGGAGAGGTTCAGAGAGCTCAAGTTTCTGTGAGGTTGCCCGATATCCCTTTCGGCTCCTCCTATTTGTAGAAAAAAATGCCACAAAAGGAAGAAGAAGACACCCGTCATGTCCGGAAAAAGGGATACCATCTTTGGACAAGAAGCGAAAAGGAAGAGAAACAAAGAGACCAGCACCAAACCCTCCCACCTTTAAGCAAATGGAGACCAAAATTTTCCACTTTGCTTTCCGATGGGTCCTCCGTACAAGCACTCACCTCCTCGAACTCCCTCCTATCTCTTCCCTTGCGTCCTTGCCCTCTGCTTCTTCTCCCTCACTGGTCTCTTCCTCTACAAGGTCTCTCTCTCTCTCTCTCTTTCTGTCTTTATGATTATGTATATGTATGGATCGTGATGAATTCTGAATTCTCGTTTCATTGTGGAATTTTATCCAACAGGTGGACGATTTCGTATCGCAGACGAAAACACTAGCAGGGCACAACTTAGAACCGACGCCGTGGCATGTTTTCCCGCTGAAAGCGGTCGACGAGGAGGCCCAGAGATCGCAGGCTTACAAGATTTTACAATGCTCTTACTTCTCTTGTTCCTACAGGAGCAGCGACTCGTCAACGACAGAGCAGGGCCGTTCTGGGTCCTCATCGTCTCAGATATCGGCTCAACGATGCCCTGATTTTTTCCGGTACATTCATGATGATCTGGAGCCGTGGGCGAAGACGGGTATATCGGAGAAGCACTTGATGGAGGCGAAGCAGTACGCTGCTTTCAGAATGGTGATTGTTTCTGGCAGGCTTTACGTGGACTTTTATTACGCATGTGTACAGAGCAGAGCCATGTTTACAGTGTGGAGCATGTTGCAACTGCTTAGAAGATATCCGGGGATGGTGCCTGATGTGGATGTCATGTTTGATTGCATGGATAAGCCCATCGTTAATCGGACTGAGCATGCGTCGTTCCCGTTGCCGCTGTTTCGGTACTGTACAAACGAGGATCATTTTGATATCCCATTTCCTGATTGGTCTTTCTGGGGTTGGTAAGAGTTAATGATCCTTAGTTTCTTGCTGCTTTTTCTGAGTTAAACTTCAATGTTCACTTAGTATTAGAGCTAGAATTTCGTCTATGAATCTATTTTTGCAGTTTTTTAAATTAATTTTGTGCAAGATATATTTAAGTATATGTGCTTGATCCATGCATTTTCTTTAGCAAGCTTTAGTAGGTAGGGGTATTAGAATATGAATAATAGATTGAATTATTAATATAGATTAAGCTTTTAACATAATCAGTTACAATCAATTATTTCAGAGTATGTATGACCTCTTCTATTTAATCGTTAGTAAAGGAACTGCTCTTCTGGAACTTTCGGTGGGAAGAATCTGCTCTTCCATTGAGTTCTTAAACATGATGGTAAACTTGAGAAAGGTGGCTAGAGTGATGCACTAGAACTTGGTACTCCTGAAGAAATTTACATAGTGATTGGATTGAGGAAAGCATGGGGAAAGAAAAGGATGCTCATCTTCCCCCTGTTTAGATAAACAAAAAAAAAAAAAAAGGAAGGAGGTGGATGGTGAGCATCCTTCCCTTTTCCTTAGAGTTTCAGTTTTTCTATTCCTCAATATTGAGGGAAAAAAGAGAAATTAGAGGGATTAAAAATTTTAGAAGAGAATTTTCTATTTCATCCTTGCTACTTAACTTCTGATTCTATTAGTATGGGGTATTATTGACTATTTTCTCATAGCTAATCATTTTCTTTCCTTTCTGAAGCAAAACCAAACAAAATAATAGAATAATTCTTTCATTTCCTTTAACCTTTTAATTTTAGTTATGAGAAAAAAAGGACTTTCCTTTTTTTTCCTCTCTATTCCTTCGAATGTTTATCAAACATAGTGTTAAGACTGAATTGTCACCTGGGATGTCGAAATACTTCCGACATGTCTGATTCAGGCACTTAACAAGTATCTGCAAGGGGACTCCTAGAAGTGACTAATGGAGGTAATAGTTACTAAGGTCAATAAATTGTGGTGAATTTGTTCAAGTTAAACTCTATCGTCAACTTGTATGGTGTGATGGAATTCATGAATGGGTATAATTTGACTTATACTGAGCATTATTTTGAATGATTCTTTTGACAGGTCAGAGACAAATTTAAGGCCCTGGAACGAGGAGTTTCAAGATATCAAACAAGTTTCTCGAAGAACAAGCTGGTCAAAGAAGATTCCCCGTGCTTACTGGAAGGGAAATCCCGATGTTGTGTCTCCTATCCGAATTGAATTATTGAATTGTAACCACTCTAGGTTGTGGAGAGCACAGATTATGCGTCAGGTTGAACTGTAATTATAGTTTCTCCATTTCTTTATGTGGATGTACTAGATTGGTTCAACATCTACAGTTTTAGCTGTTGATGTATGTCTTTTTGTGCATAACAGAACTGGGAGGAGGAAGCAAAAGCTGGATATGAGCAGTCCAAGCTATCCAATCAGTGCAATCATCGGTGAGCATTACTCTTCCCATGATGTAACCAAATATATTCTTGTTGGAACTTTGTATGCAATTGTATTATTTGGTTAGCTGAGTAAAGAATTTATCTAACAACTACCAGCTGAAATCAATTATGAGTGATCTATATGTTATGAGTTCCCTCACTCGAACAAGATGAAAGTGGAGATCTAACATTTTAAACTTGGATTTCCCACTTCAAGTGATGGTTGTCATGATATTCCGTCTTTTAGTAGGTCGAATAGGATACTGCCATTGGTTTATGAATCAAATGGATATACATGCCTGCATCATTGATGTTTTAACTTGTAATCATATTTATCTGTGGGAATGCTGAATGCATTTCTTTCGGGAGATAGAACTGAAAAAGGTCACACTAATCCTGTAAGTTCTTGTATGCGTATTAGCACCTAGAATGTTAACAGTTTTACATTTAGTCATTAACCTGGTTATCTCTGACTGAAGGTACAAGATCTATGCTGAAGGATATGCTTGGTCTGTGAGTTTAAAATATATTCTCTCATGTGGTTCTACAACCCTAATTATTTCTCCACAATATGAAGATTTCTTTAGCCGGGGTCTCATTCCCAAGGCAAATTATTGGCCAGTCTCTCCTAATAATTTATGCCATTCTATAAAGTCTGCTGTTGATTGGGGCAACGCAAACCCGATGGAGGTATTTATTTTCCATATTCATTTACCTTATTCAGTTTTTATCTACGATAACTTTGACCACTATGCTGTCGTAGTTTGATTGAGCTCTTTTCTGTAGTCCTGGGTTAATCTGGTTTCTGCTTCTTAATTAATATCTACGTTGCTATATGTCTTGATTGTTAAAGTTGGAGTGAGCTATCGTTGCTTTCTAGTAGACCTTTTTGGTACTCTTTGCTGGCTAGTGGCTATAAAGTTCATGGTATTCATTTTTTTCTCATGTTGTTTTGATCCAAAACTATTTTACTTTCATTCAAATCGCATATCTTAATTATTTTATAAGTAGAATCTATCCTTAGTTACACTTTGTTATGCTTGATTAACTAACTTTACATAATTTCAGAATAATGAGTTAATATCTTTACTTGTCAATGAAGAAATAGCAAAAACACCTAATTCAAATAAATATTACTTCTATTTAATTTTTATCTCATTTTTTATTTTATTTATATTTATATTTCATTCCATTGGAATGATTCAACCTTAAACTGTACAACCTTGCAATTCATTGGCATGGTTAACAGGCCGAAGCTATTGGCAAAAGAGGACAGGCTTTAATGGAAAGCTTGAGTATGGATCGAATCTACGATTACATGTTTCACCTCATCTCGGAGTATTCAAAGCTGCAAACTTTCAAACCGACCCGACCACCTTCTGCTCTTGAAGCGTGTACGGAATCTGTTCTTTGCTTTGCTGACCTGAAGAAGAGGGAACTTCTGCAAAGATCAACTGTGGAACCTTCGTCAACTCCTCCATGCTCACTGCAGCCGGCTGATAGCATTCTTATCCAAACTTGGAAACGACAGAAAAAAACTGTAATTGAAGATACGGAACAGGTATAGATGTAGAACAGACTGAAAATCAGACACTAAATTTTGCTGGTTGAATATTTGAAATGAATAAAATTTTGTAGCATTAGAGTTTCCTTGTATAATTTATGTAGCGATGGACCTTTATTCTTTTTTCCTTTTTTAAGTATAAAAAAATCATTAGTTAGAATCAACAGTCACTCGGACAACTGTTATAATTCTTTTAGTTAAAAATATAGTATGCGGTAATAATTGTCTATAAAATAAAAGATTATATATTTATTAATAAATAAAATATTAATATTAATTATAATTCAGTAAAAAATAATTTTAAAATAAAATTATATAGAAATATAATGTAATTTGAATAATTTTTTAACTAAAAAATAAATAATAAAGCATTTTTAAAAAATTAGAAATATGAACTTAGCTATAAAAAGTCTTTCTGACACATTTATTTATTGTCCAATTTGGTAATTAACATTTCAATTATTCCATTTAAATTCTTGACATTTATTTTTTCAAAAACAATATTTTAAGATCTTCTCTGCTAAAAACTATTCCTTGAGCTATGTTCTATATCCTGTACAAATATTATTTTATTTAATACCAACAATTATTAAAATTTTAATAACAATACATGGGAATTTTTGACAACTTTGCAACTATTATTATAATAATTAAATTAAAGTATAAGGTTTACATAATTATATTATATTCTTAGAACATGTTCTATATTCACATGTATGTTTTCAATCTTTTTTGTTCTTAATAAAAATTAAATTCCCTGAAATATATAGGTGTTTTATGTAGAATTTTACTTTAATATAAATAATTTGGGTTGTGGATTGAGTCAAGTCAAACAATTTACACATACCCATACGAAATTAAAATTATCCAACTCCAATTACCAGTTAATTAATGGGAAGGTGCTATGTCAAATGCACAAATGATTAGAAATAAAATTTAGATTTAAGCTAAATTTAATTTATTTATCAATTTATAAACACGTCATTAAAAAAATATATTTATAGAAGAAATAGGTTAGTGTGAACCTATAATATTTTTAATTAAAATTCTGTTCACCTAATATTTGACCATCAATTTATTAATAAATTCACACTTACCTCTATTAAAAATAATTTATATATAATTAAAATAATACGTTTTAAATTTTATCATATTTGACAAGATTGTGATGTTTTAGAATGACTGTCCGTATCACATAATGATTTAAATTTTATAAATACAATTATTATTTTTCATAATTATAATTAAATGTAAATTTATAAATTAAATTAACATGAATTTTATATCAACATATCACATAATATATTTGCTCTATCCGTTTTTCTTGTCATAATAATATTAATTATTCAACCGAAATTCTAAATTAATAAAAAAAATAGGTGTGGACACGTGTTTATCTAGCTGGACTTGATTGTTGGGTAATTGGATTAAGTTTTAAAAATTAGGGCGTCATTAAGTGCCAAAACATGGTTATAATGATAATAATTATAACAATCAGAATCAATTAAAAGAAAGTTTTCGTGTTATTTAAAATATATAAATTAAGTTATATATTTTTAAATTAATAGACTAATTATAATTATTAAAATATAAATTTCTTTTAAATACAAAGTTTCTAAAATTTTTTAACCTTTTTTTATAAAGAAAATACTACTTACTTTTGAGTCATATAATTTTTTAATAGTATCTAAATATTTTTTATTTAAAAATATAATAATTTAATTTTGTTATTGCAATTCTAGTGATATATTGTAAAGACCCATAATTTAAATAGAAATAAACTCATAAATTAAATTTGAAAGCGAAATAATAAAGTTATGATTTATATTTGTTATACAATACTTTACAATGCACAATATGATTACGTAAATATTCATTCTAAAATAATAAACGAAAATTAAAGAAATATACGAAATGCAAATAACTAAGCAATCCTATGAAGACATTCACTAGCTTTTAAAGAGAGTTCGGGTGGTGAACTATTCACAACCTTTTTGTTGATTGAAATCTAGATATTGATCTTTTTAATCTGAAATAGTTAATGAAAATATGAGTTACACTAACCCAGTAAAAATATCACACTAATCACATATACAGAAAACTGAAGATTGGTAAAAATAAAAAAAAACAACAAATGGAACCCTTAATTTAATGTAATTTCATTTACTATAAATAAAGTCATTTATTTCACATTTGTGTAACAAATCTTTTCTAACAATAATTTATGAAAACTCATATTCATGCACTATTATTTATCACATAGAAAATAACAAGAAACGATCATTTTACATTTTTATCTGCTTACCGGTATCCCTGAGGGTCTATAGAGATGTCCTCCTACTCGTAAACTTAATATCCAATTAAACAGTTAACCAATCGTCCCTATACCCCATCCGGTATGGGCGCCAAACATGCTACCACCTTGACACATCGTCCGATATTAGGGTGAACCATATCTCCCAAACCTTACTGATAAAGGACTTTTCAGCCCCGTCCGACTAAGGAAACATTCACGGTAAGGATTCTCTATATGTCGGGCCCGTCCACCCTTTTTGGGGTACCTAGTAAGTCTTTCCTATACAAATTTTTATCAGCATAACAATCAACCATGCAATAATCATATTGCATTTTATAGTCACTGTTCACTTAAACAACAATATAGTTTAACACAGCTAAATAACTAATAATCGGAATACTGGCACGCAATGCGGGAAAATAAATAACAAATAACCCAAAAGACCCTAAAAATTATTATTTGAGTTACACACAGTATATATAACATATAGACATATAGAAAATAACAGAATCATACGAT